ACACACACACACACACACACACACACACACACACACACACACACACACACACACACACACACACACACACACACACACACACACACACACACACACACACACACACACACGCCACACACACACACACACACACACACACACACACACACACACACACACATACACGTACCTCCCTCTCCACACACAATTTTTCTTTCCGTATTCTATCGCTTCATCATTTAACAATGCCGATGTCTTCGTTCTATAGGAGGAGGGAGGCGCGCCTCAACCCCAATGGCTGCCCGGCGGTAGGCACCTTCTTCGCTCCCCATCAGTTCACGGACTACGCTGCCGCTCAGCAACTCTACAAGGAAGGCCACGAGATGGCAGCACGCGGCATCAGGTACGCACCGACGATGTGACGTCACTGTAAGTCGTGACGTCATCGTGAGTGATGATGTCATCACGTAACACGCGACGTCATCGCGATCAGCTCTCTAAAACTGCAAGGCTGCAGAAATTTGACGCGCGCCTGACCCGCACCAGTTTGATACCGTATCAAATTTGCAGTCTGTATAACGTCGGTATAAAACCGGCGTTAGTGTATAGCGAGTGTGGAGGTTGACACAGGCGTGACATCCTTGCCACTGCCGACGGGACACGTTTAAATTTTGCTAAAAAGTTATGAATGACGGAAACAGATGCGAGGTCTGAAATTGTCGCAGAAACTTAACTTGGAAAAACTTTTCGAAAAACAATCGATCACTACGCTGTGAGAATCTTTGTTTAAATTCTTTTCTGGGTGGAGATAGTCGCGAGGGTGGTCGAGCGAGATGGGATGTGGGTTGTTGTTGTTGTTGTTGCTGCACGGAAAAAGTTCTAGACTAGATGGAAGAGGGACGCATCATACGTCGACTGTTGTAAATATGTAAACATGTTAAGGAGATTTAAGGAGATTTGTTCGCGTTTCAGCGAGAATACCGGCTCCGAATACTGGAAAGACGGCAGTGTCGAGGACTGGACCCTCGGCATGGCTGACCAGCCAGCCATGTTCTCTCTATACTCATCCATCCCAGAGATAAATGGAATGAGAGGTCCCTTCACCCAGATGGGTGGTGACAATCAGGTACGCCTGTCATAGGCAAACAAAACAAACACACAAAAACACGTTGCGTTACATGCATACGCTTATATTTTCAATTGACTACGTGACGAATTTTCTATGGTGTATCTTTGTGACATTTTGTTGCAATTTTCTTTACAAGAAAAGTAAGTACTACCGAGACTAGCGGGAAAAAATCTGGGCGATTTGATATATTTATCACGACATTACATGCTTGCTATGGGCTATTTATGAGTTTCGAGTGTTTGTTCACATCGAACGGAATAGCAAAATAGGAAGTATAATGCAGCAATTTAACCATGAAAAGTGAACAGAATCACCTACATTTTGTGAAAAGTGGACATATTTTTACTATTTACGGTGACGTAATCACTTTCAAGGTTTTAGATGATTGTAATATGGTGCACCGAATTAAACATATTGCAGCCGATTTGGCGATGTAATAAATGCAGAAACATTTTCCAATGAAACTTCGTAATCGTAACAGTGGAAATAGTAATCTTATTAGAAGTAATAATAATAATGATAATAATATGTGATATGTGAAGATCGAGGTATTGAAGAACAAGCCTTTGCATGGAAGATTTTACAAGAGCCTCGACAGGCTATTTGTCGACAAGATTGCAAGCGTTAATTGGCTGACTGAGTAGTTCCGGGCTTAAGGGGGAGACAAAAAACCTGATAATTGCAGCCCATTACCAAGCACTCAACACCAGATACCATCAGCAAAACATCCTCAAGCAACAGGTCAACAGCAAGTGCAGAATGTGCAGCAAGGCAGAGGAGACCATCAGCCATATCATCGCCGGATGCACAGTGCTGGCCTCAACCGAGTACATAAATCGCCATAACAAGGTAGCCAGCTATCTGCACTGGTCAATCTGTAGTGAACTTGGTGAGCAAGTACCTGACAAGTGGTATGAACATACTCCGAGACCAGTTACCAACATCGGAGATACTACCATCATGTGGGATATGGCAGTGCAGACAGATCGCACGATACCTGCAAACCGCCCTGATATAGTGCTGCACAACAAGAAAGAAAAACGATGCCTGCTGATTGACGTAGCCGTACCAGATTATACTAACATCGTGGTGAAGGAAAGAGACAAGCTCACCAAGTACAAATATCTGAAGATCGAAATTAGGAGGATGTGGAATACCAAGTCCAGAATTGTGCCAGTGGCGGTTGGAGCCCTTGGCTCTATAAAGAATGGTTTTGAGAGGAACCTTAAGGAACTCCCTGGCCACCACACTGCCCAAGAAGTGCAGAAAATAGCACACACATTCCTGCGAAAAATTCTGGATTGAACCCCTATGTCCCAGGTTGGTGAGCAGCCGTCACCAGAAGGCCACCGGCTAAATGTCGTGATCCACTTTGGAAATAATATAAAAAATATAATAATAATAATATATAATAATAATAGTAAATAATAACCACGGTAGATGACTTTCATTTAAATGCAATTTCTCGCGCTAGAATGGACATGGTGTAAGCGATGCCGGACTTAGATACGGACGCACGTGGTCTAGCGTCTCAGCAACCGATCCAGCCGATCTTGCCGTTCACACATGGACATGAAAGCAAATCGATCAATTTGCAACATTCCTCCGTGCCGGCCGTCAAACTCACCCTCGGTAGGTAGGCGCAGCCCCGCAAAACGAGGCAAAGGACAGTCCGTGTCAATATACTAACAGTATAGTACTATACTAGTGATACCAGTAGGTTTTGGTAAAGACAGTACTCTGTGTCAGTTGATCGCCCTATTCGGCGTGACAGGGACACGTTATAACCGCAACTGTGTCTGTAAGCGCCCATCGGGACAACTAAATGTTAGATATAGGCTCAATGCTTTAGATACTAAATAGTGTTGTTATTATATTGATTATGTTATATATCTTAGATTATTTTTTTAATGTGCTTCATATTCGTTACCGCCAGAGCTTTCCTGTGTTTAAAATCAGTATAGACATACGGGACGAAGGCAGACCTCTAATTCTCGCGTCGTCATTGCGTTATTCCACGTCACGTGTTCGGCTAGGCATCTGGGAATGTGCGATGAGTGAACTGGGATGCGATACTAACGATACCCTGTGTACAAGCAGTGCGACGCCTGCTACTACCCCCTGAGACGAGGCAGAGCGCTCAGGCGCTGCTGCGCAAACAACTTCTGCTCGTCACTACAACTCACTCCAACAAGGCTCCCACTGCAGATCAAACCTCGTCCGGCAGCGTATGTACGCAGACACCGAGAGTAGACTGTCACACATTCGCTGCAGGAATTGCAAGCGACGTTTGCAGTGTGTTGCTTATATGATAGTACTAATATATTAATAGATATGCTATATATGATATATAATTATATCTTATATATAGTAGTAATGGAATCATACTATAGAAACTGCCTCACGTTTATCAGCGGTTTTAGCTTACATTCTTCGTCGTTTATTAGATTATTCGCCGTAATAAACGCAATCAAACCCCTGCAATAATTCTACTATTAAATTAAACTCTCTCTCTGCTCCGCTAGATTCTTCTACACGGCCGGATACGTGCTGGATGAGCCGTACAGGAATTCCTAGCGACGAACTTGGAAGCCGATGAGGCGACGTCTATCTTGTCACCGATGTCCGATCATGTCGACTGGATGGAGAACCCGACAACGGACGGCTGGCGCGCTTCGACCTGTTCACGCCTGCGATCTACGACGACCGGCGCTGAGCTGTGCGACGACATCAACTAATCGTCCTATAGGGCCAACATCACGGTACCTGCCAGAACTCCGACGAGCATCCCCGGCGATCGGCTGCTGCAGCACGTGCGCCGACTGTCCGGCGAGGCCTACCGCCCGTGGAGGCGAGAACCCCGTCGGTTGGCGGCCGGCTCCTCCGAAGCGCGACAGGCAATTCGCTTCGGCAAGGAACTCGGCCGGGAGCGTGCTCGCCCTGACCCACTCACGCGTGCCGACCGTTTACTGAACGCCACGGGACGGAGGCCACGACGGAGAACGGCACGGCCTGCGCTAACTTGAGGTATCGGGAGTCACAACGGAGTGCTCTCAGAGAACAACTGAGGCCGCAGGAACAACTGAGGCTGGGCAGGAACAACTGAAGCTGGGCAGGAACAAACTGAAACTGCAGAACATAGCGGAGGCAGTAGTAACAACTCGAAGGGGCACAGGAACAACTGAGGCTCCAGGAACCAACTGAGGCTTGCAGGAACACGGAGGCTGCAGAACAATGAGGCTGCAGGAACAACGAGCTGGCAGGAACAACTGGAAACTGGCAGGAACAACGGAGACAGTAGTAAAACTGAGGGCACAGGTAACAAACTGATGGCTGCAGGAACAACGGAGGCCGGCAGGAACAACTGAAACTGCAGGAACAGCCGGCGAGCGCAGTAGTAACAACTGATGGCGGGCACAGGAACAACTGGGAGGGCAAGGAAGCGGGAACTCGAAAGCACGCCAGGACAACGGAGGGGTTGCAGGAATACAAACTGAAGGCCCCAGAACAACTGAGGCGCAGGAACAACGAGGCCGCAGGAAGCGGAGGCTGCAGGAACAACGGCGAGG